TTTTTAACGTTAAAAAACACTACATCGATAAATGATTAATATATAACAAACTAGAGTTTCTTACGCGCCGCCGTTTCGACTCGTAATTAATTTTATTTTCTAATTTATTTATATATATATATATATATAGTTTTATTTATTTATTTGTTATGTTTGTTTGTTCGGCTCATGTTTACCAAACGATAAAATCTATTTTTCTTTTCTTTTATTTTATTATTAAATTATCATCATCATTATCATTTACATTATTACAAACAAACGAGTGAAAAAAAGTGTTTTTATAACAACATGAAACGATTTAGTTGTTGTTGTTTTCTCGTTGTCGTTTGCCGTCGCCGTCATTGTCGTTATTTGAACTCATGATTGTAATAATAATAATAATAATAATAATGATAATGATGGTTACATTCACGATAACGAGAATTCATTAAAAGGTAACAAACAAAATTATTACCTGTAATTTTTTTTTTTTTTTATTATTCAAACAAACGACATCCAAGATGATTTCCGAGTGTCTTTGAAAAAAAAAAAAAACGTTTCTTGCCATTTCTCTCTCTCTCTCACTCTCATAATCGTTTTCATTCGTCTCTCTCTCTCTTTCTCTCTCTCGTTAATTTTATTTTATTCTTATGTTGGCTTTGTAAGGTAAAAATGGTCGATGGGTTTGGGCAAGAGAGGAAAGGGGGGGGGAGAGAAAAACGCGCGCGATGGGTGGAGAAAAAGAAGGAAAGGAGGGAGGGAGGAAAAGAAAATTATTAGAAGGCGGTGATGAATTTAAAAAGCCCACAAAAACGATGAAAAGCGATGAAGAAGAGGGAAAAAAAAGCTCCCGGGTGTGTTTATGTGCGGACGCCATTTTTTTTTTTTACGTATCGAAAATTTTTTAATTCGATAATTATCGATATATAAAACTCTCTAATATCGAAAAATTTTTTTTTCCTCGTTGTTGTTGTTGTTTACTCCCCTTTCGTTTGTTTTCTCACAAAATGATGATGATGATAATAATAATAATATTTTTTGTTACTTATGAAACCGGAGGCTAATTTTTCACTTCTTTTGTTTTTTTTTTTTCGTCACGTTTCGATTATTATTTATTAATTTAAATACTTTCGATTAATTACGTTGAATTTATTACGTTTTACTCTCTCTCTCTCTCTCTCTCTCTCTCTCTCTTTCTCTTTCTCTCTCTCTCTTCGTTGTTTTTGTTTGTAACACATGGTTTGACGTCTGATTAAGTTCTTTGTTGTTGTTGTTATTTTTCTTTATTATTATTATTATTATTAATTAGGTTTGCAAGGATTTAATTAAAGGGATTTTTTTTTTTTTGATTTTTTTTACGAATGCGTATTATACGTCCACATCGTGCGTGCGTGCGTGCGTGAGTGCGTGTGTGCGTGTGTGAAAGAAAAAAACGGAAACAAGTAATTACAACTTCCGAAATTTTGCGGTTCGTAGATAAGGCAATTTGGAATAATTTTCACGCTCGCGTTGTAACAATAAAAATTTTTTTTTTCGGGGGGAGGGGGTGAAAACGGGTATCCTATCGATTTTTCCCAAAAAAAAAAAATTCTAAAAAAATCCCCTCCCCCCAAAAAAAAGAAAGAAAAAAAACAAAAAATTTTTTTTTTACCATTTTTCGTAATATCGACAATAATTATCATCATCATCATCATTGATATTATTATTATTATTATATTTGTAAAACATGATGTCATACTAATAAATCAAATAAAGTCGATTACAAAAAGAGAGAAAGAGAGAAGGGGGGGAAGGGAGAGAGAGAAAACGTAGACTTTTAGTATAATTCCATTGAATTAAATTTTAATTTTTTTTTTCGTGGTTATATAAAAGGCGGTGGAAATGTGGCGGCATACGACATATTACGCACACACACACAAACACATTTAGGAGGAGAGTGTTAAGAAAGAGAGAGAGAGAGAGAGAGAGAGATAAAAAAATTATTATAAACATTCCATAACCGCCGTGAGTTAAAAATCTGACAGGTACACAATGGATTTGACAGAATCAATTGAAAGTAATTTTTTTTTAAAAAGATGTCAGAAATGTATTAGTAGGAAAGAAAAAAGGAAAGGAAAGAGAGAGAGAGAGAGAGAGAGAGGCGGCGAGGGAGGAGGTTACGAGTGAGTGAGTGAGTGAGAGAGAGAGATAGAAAAAAAAAAACCTTAATTGACTAATGTGTATAGTTTTGACATATATTATTGCCACAATGGCAATCTGTCATATCAGAACCTAATGGAAGGAAAACTATCATCCAAAGGAACTTTTTTTTTTTTTGTCCTTTTTTCCTTTTATTTCTTTCCTTTTAATTTTTCTTCTTCGTTTTTTATTTAAAAAAAAAAACGTTTGAGATAATTGAGAGCGATATGGATTTTCATTAAAGAGCATTCACGAATTCAATCAGGTACGACACACTATTAACGAATTTTTTTTTTTGTCTAAGGGAGGGTTTCCGGTTTTGATGATGATGATGATGATGATGCTGATTCTCTCTCTCTTTCTCTCTCTCTCTTTTAACCTCTCGTTTTTCTCTCTTTCTCTTTCTTAGGTATCGCATACGTTATTAACCAAAAAAATTTTTTTTTTTTTTAATTATTAATCGAACGTTTTATGATGTCATTATCATTATTATCATTATTATTATTATCATCATCATCATCATTTGCTGCAGTTTAAAGCATCTAAAGTTTTTTTATTTAATAAAATATTTTCCTGTACGGTTTCTTGAGAAAAAAAAAAAAAAAAAAACAAGTTTTAATAATAATTTATTGTATCTTTATTTTGTTTTATTTTGTATCGTCGTCGTCGTCGTTTGTCGTGAAACAAACGAGAAAATCTCGATGGATAAAGATAGATAGATAGATAGATAGAGAAGGGGAGAGAGAGAGAGAGAAAGGATACGACAACAATCAGGTTTAAAAAAAAAAAAAACTTTAAAAATAATAAAATTAAATCTCGAATAATATATACAAAAAAAAAAGAAAGAAAGAAAACAAACAACAAACGCAAACGACGCACGAACAAACGCACACACACACAGAAAAAAAAAAAAGGAATGATGTAAAAGTCAAAGTTGGATATTGAAGCAGAAGACATTTTTAAGACGCAATTTTGACAGTTGAACATAAGTTAGGAAGATTCATTACATTTTATACTTAGACTCGTCGTCGTCGTTGTCGTTGTCGTCGTACCTGAAAAACCTTTTTTTTTTTTTTTTAAATGAAAAAAAAAATTTCGTTTGACCGATCCGGTACGATTAAAATTAAAATTTAAAAGTCTTTGTCTTTGTTTGTTTGTTTGTTACGAACGACGTCGTTTTTCGTTTTTTTTCCCCGCAAAAATTTTTTCCGTACGAAAAAATTAAATGATTTCGTTTGTTGTTTGTTGTTTGAATTTTTTTTTTATTCGTTTGCGTGGAAGTAGAAAAAGACAAATATGTTTTGTTTTATACGTTAAAAAACTCATCTGTTCTTTTTTAATTTTAAACATATGATAATAATAATGATAATAATAGGTACAAAGGAAAGTTTCGTGAACCTGGAGAGCATTCGGTTTACGAGAGTATTTTCCATTTGAAAAATTTTTATTTAATTTAAAATTCAAATTTATTCCAAAATGTCGTGGTTATAAACAAAAATATAAAAAAAAAGGGGAAGCAGATGTGTAAAATCCGTTACGATCATCGTACTACGTACGTCAAAGTTTCGGTTTATTATTTATTTTAAATTTTCCCGCGTTTTTTTTAAAAAAAAAAATTAATCCGAGCGTATTTATTTTCTTTCGATTTTCTTTTCCCTATTATTGTTATTATTATTATTATTATTATTATTATTATTATTATTATTATTATTATTATTATTATTACTACTACTTTTTTTTTTTTTTAAATGGAAAAAACGTTTGTTGTTGTTGTTCTTTTTCACATATTCGTGATTTCGTGTCATTAAAAAAAAAAAAAAATCCGCAAATAAAAAAAAAATAACAAACGTTTGTTTTTCCGCCAATTAAATTAAATTTAATATCACGTGTCATAAAATCGATATCCGCCATTTTATTTTTTTATTTTTTTCAAATTATTATTATTATTATTATTTGTTTTTTTTTTTTTTTAAATAATAGTTATATGTTTACGCATGAGTATTTACGCGTGAGTGAGTGCGTGAGTACGCATTTAAGACGAAATTTCCTTTTTGACTGTTTTTTGGGGGAGGAGAGAGTGCGAGAGGAGTAATGACGGAAATTAACCGGTTTGAATGAAAAATAACGAGACTTAAAAAAAAAAAAAAGGGAGGAGGTGCGAAGGGTAGGAGTATGGAGGAAATAAAAGGTTTGTGGTTGGTGGTAGGTAGGAAAAAAGGAAAAAACTTTCGGAAAAAGGGAAAATATTAAAAAAAGGAGAGAGAGAGAGAGGGGGAGGGAATGAATGGGGTGGGATGGGAGAGGGAAAAAGGTGGTTTGAGGGTGGTGGTTTAATATACACACACATTAATTACACACGAACGTAGGCATACGTATATGCGTGCATGGGGAGCACCGAGGGAGTTTGAAGGTAGAGAGAGAGGGGGAGGAGAGAGGAGTGGGGGAGGGAAGGGAGGGGTAGTATCGAGCAAATTAACACGCACGAACACTTTTAAACAAAAAATGACATTTTCAAACGGGTGAATATTATTAAAATTATAAAATTATGAATTCAGTGGGGAGGCATTCGACCGTCCAATATATATATATATATACGAATAAATAGTAAATAATGAATACCTTCTGCTCTCCGGTCATTTTTATTTTTTTTTTGTTTATTCACGTCATTCTCTCCCCCTCCCCCCTTCTCTCTTTCTCTGTCTCTCTCTGGTCATTATTAAATTTTTAATTATCGATATCGAACGAATTCGTGGGGAGTGAGAGAATTAAATAATATACTCAAAATTATATTCATATATATGTTTTGTTTTGTTTTGTTTTCAGCGGCCGTGGCAGCAGCGAGAATGTCCGGAGTATCTACGTCCACGACCGTTTGCCGGCCGCATTTTCACGCACCGTTACATCCGTGGTTAAGTGACGCAGGTACGAAACCATCGTGGTGCAATCCGTTCGGTAACGAATCCGACAACAAACCACCGTCGCCGCTCATAACAACGAACCACCACCCGAACCATCATAATTTGTTCAGTTTTCCGCCGACGCCGCCGAAAGACGCGACACCGGATTCCGTGACGACGAATTCGACGACGAATCACACGACGACGTCGACGAATTCTACGGATTACCAACAAAAGAGTGACTTTAATAACAAAACGGATTCGGCATTTACAACGAAAACAACGAACTCGGGTGATTATAGTCAAAAAAACATGGAAAGTTTTAACGTGAATAAAAATAGTGAGTACATGCACAAGAACGATTATCTGGCACACGCGGCCGCACTCAACGCCGTAGCATTCATGCAACACGACGGATTGGACGTGAAACCCGGTATCAACATGCTAGGAAATGGCATACTATCAGGGAACGGCGGATCGAACAACAAGCAGAGAGAAGGTATCGATGCTAGTGTTAGGTCGCCGGGAAACGAAAGTTCCTCCTCGAATAGCGAAAGCGAAACGAGCGTACACCCAAAAATGTCTCCTACCTGTCACAATCAGGGTCCGAGTCATTCACCCGCCGCCAATCCGAATCCTTGCTTTCCTCCCCCTCCCCCATTGCAACCCTCGCCTTATCACGAACACGGAAACTACTACGGTCATTATCATCACGGGAATTTATTTAAATCGAGCCATCACCATTCGCCGGCGGGGATATCCAACAGCTCCGCGACGGGGCTACATTCGAACCTTAAAAATAATTCTAGAAACAAATCGCGGTCGAGTGCTGGTAAGCAGACATTTTTTTTTTTTTTTGTTTTCTTTTGTTTTTTTTTAAGTTTTTTTTCTTCTTCGAATTATTTCTTTACATCATCAAACGGATCAAGGAAACTTTACATCTTTCCCTTCATTCTCCCCTCTCCAATATCACTTCATCGCACGTCACACAAAAACAACCACTCGAAAAGGGATTTATCTTAATCCCAACAAACAAACAAAAATCATTTTCAAAAAAAAAAAAATTATATCTATAGAATAAATCTAACCAATCGTATTTAAACATAAAATAAAAATAACTTCATCATCATCATCATCATCATCATCGTTTCTCGCCATTTTGTTTTTTTTTAAACACCCACGATTTTAAAATTAATAACAAAAGAAATATACAACAAACAACAACACACGAACGATAAAAGACAAAATTTTAATATTAAACCATTAATCAAAAAGGTAAAACGAAAAAACGCCAACAAACAGATAAAGATATTTCACGAAATGGTTAGCGTGAGATAAGTCCATCACTTCCGGTTTATCGATTCGATTATTTTAAAGTGTAATTCGTCGGAGTAAACAATAAAAAAACGAGAGAGTACGCGGAAATGATGAAAGGAAGGAAGAGGGGAAGGGGGGTAAATTTCGCGCGAAAACGAAAGGGGTTGGTTTTAGAAGGCTGTGAAATTTTTTTAAACGCACTCACGCACGCACGCACGCACGCAGGTACACGCACTCCACGCAAACGCGTGCGCGAACGGATAAAGTCATCAACCAATTAAACCTTATCGAAATTATTATTATTATTAATAATAATTACCCGGTAATGAATTAATTTAAATATTTATCATTTTTTTTTTTTAATTATTTCCGTAACGATTTTTTTTTTGCCGCGAACCTTCCGCCATTTTTATTTAAGAAAAAAAAATTGAAGTCGTTCGTTGGGTTTACATACGTCCGCCATTTTTTATCAATTAATGAGTGAAAAAAAAAAAAGAAAAGAAAAGAAAAAAAAAATTTTGAATTAATTATTTTTTTTTCTTTACACCCTTTTTGTCATTATTATTATTAAGTACCTAACCCTTTGAATTCATTCATTTACCCTTTTCCGTCTTTCTCCCTCTCCCCCTCTCTCTTTTCTCCTTTTTTTTTTTAAATTTTTAACCGTTGTTATTATTATTATTATTATTATTAGAATTAACCGATTAAATTAGTCATTCTCTTTCTCTTTCTCTCTCTCTCTATTATTATTATTATTATTATTATGTTTTTTTTTCTTTTCCTTTGACTCTTTCGAACGGTTAGAAACGAAAAAAAAAATTTAATTTTTTTTTTTAATTTCCTTTGATATTATTATTATTATTTCCGTTTCCGTTTTGTACGATTCGACATCTTCCTTTGATTTTTTTTCCATTGACGACACAGTTTTCTTGATCTTATTATTATTATTATTAATTTGTTTGTTTCGTTTTTTTTTTTTTTTTCATTTTTTTCTTTTTCTTTTTTATTTTTTTCAAAGCTTTTAATAATAATAATAATAATTTAAAGTTGATTTGTTTTGTGTTTACTAGCACTAACGGCCAAGAAAAAAAAAAAAAAATTTTTTTTTTTTTTTAAACAAAATTTTTGATTTCGAAAAAAGCACTCTTTCATTTTATTTTTAATTTTTTCTGGTGTGTGGGAATGGTGATGGTATTATTTATTATTCCTGTCGAAGTAAAGGTAAGTATACATATTCACTTTTATTATTATTATTATTACTACAAAAGGTTTCGCGGATCTTAAAACCTGAATCCGGTACTGATTTTTTTTTTGAACTCATTATTTTCTCGTCTTAAAGAAAATTTTTTTTTTTGTTGACAAAGGAAAACAAACGAAATCGATTTTTTATCGTTCGATATCTCGAATATTTAATTAAATATCGTTCGATTATTTTTTTACCTACCTGAAATTTTATAAAAATTATTATTATCATCGTGAAAGGAGGGAAAAAAAACTTTAAAGTCGAGTTTTTCCTTTGCAAATGTTTTTTTTTAAATTCGATTAATTATCGTCCGTTTGTTTGTTTGTTCGTTCGTTTGATTGTTTGTTTGTTTTTTAAAAACGGCGCGAAAAACAAATTTTTTTAAGTTTAAAAGTTTTTTTTTTTTTTTTAAACAACAAAAAGATTTAAGTGTATGATACTATTAAAAAAAAGGAAATACAAGAGGGGTTAAATAACAACAACAACAACAACAACAGCAGAAGAACAAACGCAGACAAACAACGTAAAAAAAAAAAATCACTTGAACGGTTAATAATGAAATTTCAAACTGTTTCTCTCAGGGTAATTCCCGCGTGTGGTCTTTTATATATGCCAACAATGAACCATCACCACTATTTCCATCCTTTTTCGTCTCTCTCTCATTCACTCACTCTCTCTCTCTCTCTCTCTCTCCTTTCACATTAGCCAACCAAACCTCTCGTGAGGTAAGAGGGAAAAATCCTTTTATCTTTTGCAAATTAATTAGTGCAACGTGCGGGTGAATGAATGAAGAGAAGAAAACAAAAAAAAACAATATTATTATTATTATTATTATTTTCACTCACGAAGCGAGCGAGAGAGAGAGAGAGAGAGAGAGAGAAGAAAGTAAAGGAAACGAAAGGACAAAGGAAAACAAAAAGGAAGATTTCCGTTCGAAAAAAAATTAAGAGAAAACATTGTAATTTTATTAATGGATCTCTCCTTCCATCCCCTTCACCCCTTTCCCCTCCTCCCACGTGATTTAAAAAAAATTAAAAGTGGGGAGGAAGGAATTTTCCCCTTTTACGTGTGATTAATGTCTCAAGTGTGTGTGAAACTGTTGAGATGATGATGATGATGATTTTCTTTCATCTTTTGATCTATTCTTTTTTCCTTTTTTTCCTTTTTTCCTTTTTTTTTGAACTTTAAAAGACAAAATGACGACGACAATGACGACAATGATGATAACGATACAAAGTAAACACTAATAAATTAAATTTGATTTAAAAAAAAAAAAATGGCGGATTTTTTTTGTCGCGGTAAAACGCCTCGGAAACATTTTTTTCGATTTTAAATAATCCGCGTGAAAAATTTTCGCTGTAAAATGCCTTTTTAAAATCGAATTTTATAATACGAAAAAAACAATCTCGAGTTATTATTATTATTATTTGTAATGAAATCGAAATGAAAAAATTAATAAATTAAAAAATAAACAAACAAACAAACAAACAAACGAACAAACGAAATACAAACGGATGAAATCGTTGTGGAATTGTAGGGGAAAAAAAAAAAAATGTTTTTTAAAATTCTCGTCGTGTTCTCGTCATCATCATCATCTCCATCTCCATCATCATCATCGCGAACAAACAAACAAACAAACAAACGTTTCGACATTAATAATTGCATTTAAAAAAAAAAAAAATCAAAATGGCGTCGAATCGTCCTTCGTTCATTGTTTTCATTTGGCAATATATATATACATGGAAAATTAGCATAATGGTGAATTTTTTTTTTTTTTTTATTCGCCATTAAATTAATCGTTAATTTTTTTTTTTTTAATATTATTATTATTATTAAAATTTCTATTATTAATATTAATAATAATGATAATGATAATGATAATAATGAACGAAACAAAAAAATTGCGAAAAGAGAATTTTTTTTTTTGTGCCTTCGAGTTAAATGCAAATTTGACATTGGCCATGAAAACGTCCTAATTTGTTTTTTTTATTCTTTCATTCACGGTTGTATTCAGGCTGCGAAATAATAATACTCGTCGATTATTATTATTATCATTATCATTATCATTATTACGAAATAGTTCTCATGTTTCGATTATTGAACTAGAAGAAAAAAAGAAAAAAAATGGCGGGAAGTTTCGCGTAATTTTTTCTTTTCTTTTCTTTTTTTCTGCCACGTTTTTTTATTTATTTATTATTTATATTACGTAGAAAAGATAGTTAAAAAGGATTTCATCATTTGTAATTATCATTATCATTATTATTATTATTATTATTACTATATCCGGTGTTTTGCGAAATATTTTCTGGACTTTGGTTGAATTTTTTCGCAATTATCCGGTTTTGTTCGGTCATTTTTTTTGTTCGTCGGAGAGTTGGGGTTATTGCGTCACGATTACTCGCGTTTAACGTGGAAAAAGAAAGAAAGAAAGAAAGAAAGAAAATTTCTTCTTCCACTTTTTTACCCTTTACATACATAAATATAATTTCCTTTTTCTAACGTTTTATCATCATCATCATCATCGTTTTATTATATATATATATCCCATACGATCTTTCATATTGTTGTTTTACAAACCGGATATTGATTTTCACAAAACCCTTGAGAAGACGAAATCGTGTGTTGCAAAGAAAGAGAGAGAGAGAGAGAGAGAGAGAAAGAGAAAATTAATTTCCAAAAATTTAATGAAAGCTGGAAAAGGTTTTTTTTTTTTATATATAAAAACCTATAATTTAAATTGTTATAGGTTTTAAGGGGGGTTGTGTTCAGTCGGGGTCGTCGTGGCTGTTGTCTTTTTTTTTTTTTTTTACCTTTCATCGCCATCGTCTACGTCGACGCCACCGCCACCACCACCACAACCACAGTCAACACCTTTACTATTCCCTCTCTCTCTCTTTCTTTCTCGTAATCTTTTTTTTTTTTTTTACTCTTCTACTTTTAACCACCCTTTGGGTTGAATAATTTAAGAAATCAACCTTTGACAGGCTATAATTTAACGTATATAAAAGGGTAAAAATAATAATAATAATGATAATAATAATAATAAGAACGGAAACGTCCTTCGGAAGAAAAAGAAGAAGAAAAAAAATGATGGTGATGGTGGTGGTGGTGACGGTCACGATGACGAAGGGGTAAATGTAATGATCGTAGATAGTTGTGAAAAAAAAAACGTGGCAGTAAAATAAAGTCTAAAAAAAAATTTAAATATCGATATATCGATCGATCGATCTATCGAGAAACGATTAAAAATTAATCGAACTTATTTATTTTTATTTTTACAAACAACCGTAAACGAGTTAATTATTATTAATTATCTTATCGATAATATTTACTTTTACTTTATTTTTCTCTCTCTTTCTCTGTCTTCGCGTCGTGGCACGAGACAAATGTTTAATTTTATCGAAATGAAACAAATTACAACTCGTGTTGTTTTTTTTTTTAAAAATCATTCCGAGGCGTTAAATATGGCGGATTCGGTTATTGAAGGGAAAAAAAGGAAAAAGAGGAAAAATTTTAAACGGAAGTTTGGAGAAAAAAAAATTCGAAACGTGAAATTATTATTATTATCATCATTTTGTAATTATTCGCTCGCACATTAAAAAAGAAATAATAATAATAATAAAACAAATCGTTGCGTTTGATTTTTTATACTTTTCCAAAATATTATTATTATTATTTACGAGTGCGGAAACGTTAAAAGGTTTGCCATTTTAAAAATTATTATATCGTTTATTTTTTTTTTCATTCCTACCGTTGCGGTTTTTTTGTTGTTGTTTTTAGTTAGGTTGGCAACATTGTTTGGCAGGTGCGAGTCGAATCGTCGAAAACAAAAAAAAAACCTGTTAAAAAAAAAAAGTAATTAATTTGTCGAGGCGATCGAACGGATGGAAGAGGCGGAAAAGGAGGGAGAGGGAAGGAGATGTGCGAGAGAAGGGGAGGAAGACGGGGGGGTAAAACGGAAGTGTAAAGATTTAAACGAAACTGTGGCGTCAGCGTCGGCGGCGTTTTCATACGAAAATTTTCCCTTTTTTCGACTCGATTCCGCCATTTTTTTTTTTTGTTTTTAATGAAAAATAAATTCGAAATCTGTGAGTGAGGGGGCGTAAGTGAGAAAAAGATGGCGGTGGTGATGACGAAGGCAAAAACCGTGACGAAATAATTTTCTCTATCGGATTTATTATAAAAGATTTAAATTTTGCAATCCATTACTCTCATCACCCCCGTTTGTCACCTTTTTCTTTTTACCCTAAATTGCAGCAAATTTTTTTTTCTTTTGCTACGGTTCGTACTTTTGCGTTAAATTTTACATTAAAAAAAAATTTCCTTTTGCACCATTCTCTCTCTCTCTCTCTCTCTCTCTCTCTCTCTCATCCATCCTTTCGCCAGCCATTTTTACTCCCATTTCACATCATATTCAATCACCTTCATTTCGTCCCGTCCACCATCGTATATCCATCCATCATTCTTCGTTCTTATCCTGAATTATCATCATCATCATCATCATTCAAAATAATAATAATAATAATAATAATAATAATAATAATAATAATAATTCGGCGTTAATTATTAATGTTTTAACCTGATAAATTAAATAATTGGTGTGAACTAGGCCGCAATCCGTTGCGTCTATCCAAGGTCGCATATATATAAATATAACGTAATTTCAAAACATCATTTCCCTTTTTCTTTGTCTTTTTATCGAACAGGTTGGTAAAGAGTGAGAGAGAAAGAGAGAGAGGGGGAGAGAAGGAGGAAAGGGGGAAATGGAAAATGAATAAAGTGAAAGGTCAAATTTTTTCCTACACCGGAATCTCATTTTAGAAAGTTTAGTATTTTTTTTTTATTATGACGAAATTTCCCCGCCTCCCCAAAAAAAAAAAAAATTTTCCAACGAGAAAGAGAGAGATGGGATGGGATGATACGAAGAATCTGGAAAAGAGAAGCACGCACACGGGAGTCGTAAATAAATGGGGGGCCCTCTCATTGCGATTATTAAAAGACATACGCGGGGGCGATAGGAGAGGAGGTTGGTGGGACGGAGGCGGGGGTGGGCTACCTGATGTAATTTTGACATTTTAAGTAGTACCGCCTGCCTCTGACGTATCGGTGGGTACCTTCACATAACCTTTCATTATCTCCTCAAAATTTCAAAATCGAGCGTCGTTATTTATACACTCTGTGTATCCACATTAAAAGCTTTTAATATACCATTACTGTCATATCTAACGTATTAATATATAACAAATTATTTCATTCTTACTCTCTCTCTCTTCCCTCTCTCTCTCTCTGTCTATCTATCTCTCTCTCTCTTCGATGGGTATTTCTTTATTAAAAAAAAACACGTTTTATAATATATTTATAAGACGTGTTTTTCATCATCATCATCATACGCGACAAAATTAAATACCTTTCATATTTATTTTTCCCCATCCACACATTCACAAGGTGGACAATCAGTCATTCATTCATTCATTCATTCATTCATTCCTCCTTTCGTTAAGTGGTGTAATAATTTTACAAAGATTTTTTATGAAATTTATTTTTTTTATGTTTTCGAAATGCGTTAGAGAAGTAGAGATGGATGGACACTCTTTACCGACGAGTTTTTTTTTTTTGTGGGTATCCAATTCGGGTACCCCCCGCGCACTCACACACACGCGGGGTTAAGTGGTTTCCTATCAAATAAGTCACAAACCATCCATCCATCCATCCATCCAACCATCCGTCCCATTTCGTTCCCGCCCTTTCACGCATTTTATAAGCCAAAAAAATTTTTTTTTTTTTTTTTTTTTTTTTAACCTTCGAGCTTATTAAATCGGATGGTTGAGAGAGAGAGAGAGAGAGATGAACTCGTGTAACGTCACGTGTGTGAAAGAGAGAGAGAGAGAGAAAAATCAGGTTTTTAATAAAAAAATTTAATGTTAAAATTGTAGCTTAGCACACGAGTTAAAATCGGCGGATCATTTAAATTTGTTTTGTTATAAACATTATGGAATTTTTTTTTTTTTTTTTTTTTTATAAAAAAATTGTTGTAAGTAAATGATTTTATTGATCGATCAATGCCTCCGCGATTTTATTATTATTATTATTATTATTTAAACATAACACGAATAACGTTTAAAATCGTGACGGGTATACATATATGAAATTTTTTTTTCTCGTTGTTAAAACGAAATAATAATAATAATAATAATAAATTAATGGGGATTTATTATTGTTTATTTATTTATTTAACGTATGTTGGTACACCTGTTGATGGTATTCGTTTTTCCTCATTCACTTCATTTGTTTTTAATGATAAAAAAAATTTTTTTTTCCCCGTATAGATTTTATTTATTTGTTGAAAATTGGCAAGGGAGGGAGGGAGGAAGTGGGGAGGGGAAAAAATGTTGTTACCAACTTTAGAAAAATTTAAAGAAAGGAAGGTAATAAAAATGTTTTTATTTATTATTTTCAGAAGGGAGAGAATGCGTAAATTGCGGTGCAACATCAACGCCTCTTTGGAGGAGAGACGGTACCGGACATTATTTATGTAACGCTTGCGGGTTGTATTACAAAATGAACGGTCAAAATCGGCCATTAATAAAACCTAAAAGAAGACTGGTAAGTTTTTACTCTTTACCTTTTTACTCTTTGTTTAAAAAAAAAAAAAAGGAAACCGGGAAACCAGGAAGGCAGGAAGGAAGGAAGGGAGATACGGAAGAAAATTTTCTAAAATCACTTTCTAACTCTTCCTTCCTTCCTTTCTTCCTTTCTTTCCTCTTTCTCTCTCTCTCTCTCTTTAATCTTCTTCATAACCAATTACGATTCCCGACGTACCACTCGCCTCCTTCCCCCTCCCCAGTTTCCCCAAAGTTTTTTCACCCCTCAAAAAATTTCAACCGACCGACTATATATATACACGTCAAACAGGGGGCGAAAATAATTTTTTATCGGTAGGAAAAATCATTCTCTCTCTTTACGTTTTGTTGAAAATATCGAATTCGGGAAAAAAGGAAAACGCTTGCGTACATTCAGATCTCGTCCTTTTTTTTTTTTTTTAGAGCCCCCCCATTATCAGGCTTGCGCAATCTTATCGAAACCATCCGATAACAATCGGATCATTCAATGTAATAACGCTATAACTCACTTTCTCTCTCTCCATCTCTCTCTCACTCATTTGTTTTCCTCTATCTTTCTTCTCGCCTGTATCGATTTTATATTTTATTAATGTGTGTGTGCGTGGGTGCGTGCGTGTGTGTGTATATACACGCACGCGTATGTTTCCGTACACACATATATTTATATATATTTTTTTTTAAAGTTCTTCTTGTCTACCGTGATATTCTCTATCCTTCTCTCTCTCTCTCTCGTTAATTTTCTATTCAGTCTCTCATTTTTTATTTTTCCAACCGACTAAATCGATATTCTTGTGGAAAAAAAACCGGATGTGAAAAAACGGTCGAGAGTTTTCCCTTTTTTTTCTTACTACACACGACTGTCTACTACCCCGATGGGAAAAAAACGTGGCAGTAATTTAACGCGTTTGAAAAATTAACAAAAAAAAATTAAAATTAAAATAGGAGGATTTAGAGAGAGAGAAGAGAGATAGAAAACGTTTTCGGTTTTTTTTAGGATACCAAAGGTTGGATGAGAAAAAGAAAAAAAAACCGTGAAAAACGTTTTTTTTTTTTTTCGGTGTAAAAAAAAAAAAAAATTAATCGAAATAAAATCGATAAATTAAGTCAATAAAAAAAAAAAAATTCATTTTCAAACGATCCACTTTTTCACACGTTTTTACACCAAAAAAAAAAAAAACAAAATGGTTATCGAGAGAGAGAGAGAGAGAGTTAAATCATAAATCATATTTAAAATAGGAAAAAAAAAAAAAACGAAGGATCCTCCCTCTTTTCCCCGTTCTTATTAAATAACTTTACCTTTTATTACGTCACCACCACTACCACAACCACCGCCGCCGCCGACGCCATCTTTATCATTTCACATTACCTCCCCCGCCGCCGCTCCCTCTCCTTCCCTCTCTCCCAAAACCTAAAAAAAAAAAACCTGATGTATGAGCGAACATCACAAAACGTTTTCGTACGCGCGTGACGATCCGTTTTTAATATTCTCATAATCGATTTATATCGATTAATAATATCGATATTCGATTATTCGGGGAAACAAAAAAAAAAAAATAATCGAAATCGAAACTCGATCGTTTTCTCACACCCCTTTAAATTTCCTTTATCACGTTTTTTCTCTCTCTCTCTCTCTCTCTTCCTTTTCCCATCTTCGCCTTCCGAAATGACGGAATTTGAATTTTACGCGCGTTTTACGCACACGCACTAACGAACGAACGCGTCACGTGATATTTTTTAAAAAAAAATTATTATTATTATTCTACAATTTCATTTCATCGTCCATTTTGTCTCCCCCGTCTACTCCCCTCTCCTTTTCTACATTTATTTTTTTCCCCCGTAAATTCAATCGATAAATAATAATAATAATTATTAATAAAAGGAAATAATAATAATAACGATAACGATTACGAAATATTTTCTACGTCATCAAAGGATAATTTCCTTTGTCCTTTCTCGCGTTCTTTAAAAAAATGTCATTCATTCATTCATTCATTCATCGTCCGTATCGATTGTGCGTGCGTGCGTGCGATAATAATGATGATGATTTTTTTGTCACCCGAAAATTAATAATAATAATAATAATAATAAGAGCGGAAGAGAAAAAGAAGAAATAAAAATTTTTTTTTTTTTTTTTAAATTATTAAATGCGATATTAAAACAATTTCCGGTTTACGAAAATGAAAAAAAAATAAAATAAAATCGTCATCATTATTATTATCATTATCATCATTATTAATTTTAGTATTATTATTATTATTATTATGGTCGCAAAAGTCATTATTATATATATTAGGTTAAGACTCAATAGGGTGGTTCGTGTTTTCCGGTTTTTGGGTATTTATTTATATTAAAAAAAAAAAAAAAAATTAAGGTTTTCACAAAATAGGTTTTTAATTTATAAAAAATAAAAAGGGGGGGCAAACCGTGAAATTTATACCTGTTTGTAAAATTATTTACCTTTTTAAAAAAAAGACTAAAACCACGTTAAGGTTTTTAATAATGTTCCTAATGGATACCTTTAAAAAAAAAAAAAAACATTTTTGGTTTTTCACGTTTAGCATTATTATCATCATCACCACCACCACCACCGCCGCCATCTTTACAAAGTAATTATTAGTTTATCGATGATGTTTATATAAAAAATTACTAGAAAGTTCGCACTCGTATTTTTTTGACGTGTCAATAAAATTTAACGGAAACGAATGAATTATCACGCGGTAGCTAGCTAACGCTTTTCTTTTTTTTTTTTATTAACGATTTTTTTTTCCGAATAAAAGAAAATAGGTTTTTTGTTTTGTGTGACACGTTCACGTATCTCTAAATTCGTGTACACGATAAATGTAAACGTGTAATCAGAATTAAAAAATCTACTAAAATATTTTCCGTTATTTTTGAGAAAATTGTCGTCGGGTAAATGCAAACAAAAGATAATTTTTAAAATTGTGTTGTTCAGGTGCAGAAAAGGTAAGGTTAATTATTATTACTACTGCCACGACGACCGCGAGGTTAATTAATTCCAAAACACCTTGCCTCTCTAATTTTTTTTTTCGTAACGGTTAACCGAAAAGTCGATAAATATAAAAAAAAAAAAAACAAGGGGGAAGTTAAAAAAAAAAACTTTCGTGGAAATAATCCGATAGTGCCACGACGAAAGGGAAAAAATTTTTTTTTTAAAAATCAGGTTCAGGTTTAAACGGGAAGTAAGGATATTATCGATCTTTTGATACGTTCATTTTCAGTTTTTTTTTGTTTTTCCTTTCTTCCTATTTTTTTTTCGTATTTAAATACCCGGAAATTAAAACACCTCCCCACTCTCCCCAAGTACGTCCTGATGATCAATCATACCACAAATCACGGTGAAAAGGGGGAAAAGAGAAAAATCGTGAGAGAAAGAGGAAATGAAGGGTAAAAATAAAATAATCAATGAATGAGGACGCGATCGCGAAGGCTTTGTAAAAAAAAAAATTAATTATTGATAACGGAGGCAGTGTTTTTGTTTAAATTTTTAAATTTTAAATTTTCCCGCGTAAAAATTTTTTTTATAAAATACGTCATTTCACTTTTCCTTTTTTGTTTTCACGTAACGAATTTATTATTTATTTTATTTAAAACGGAAAAAGGTGATGCGGAAATGAAATGATGGAAAGGGGGAAGAGAGAAGGGAAGAGGGGGAATTAAACGGGGAGAAATAAATAAATAAAAAAAGTAATGGGAGAGTGAGGAGGAAGGGGGAATTTTTTTTTTTTCGGAAAAAGGGTATGAGAAGTTCATTTATATGCAAATAATGTAAGAAAAAAAACTCCATTGTTTCCGTTCCCTTCCCTCGCTTTCCTCCTCCTTCTTCTTCTCCTACCCCTAAAATTTACAACTTTCTCTTTTTTCGCTTCTTGTCACCCCTTTTCTCCTCCTACGCTCCCCCTCCGCCCTTTTTCCACCCCCTCAATTCCTCCTCCAAAGTGACAAAAAATTGCCCCCTTCGTAATGTATTATCATTATTATTATTATTATTATTAAAGTTTAACGTTTCATTCCGTTCGGGAATAATAAAAAAATAATAATAATAATGATAATGATATTAATGACGACGAGGACGACGAGGACGACGACAGCGACGGCGATGATAATGATGATGATAGTAATAATAATAATAATAATGATTTTCATTTTATTTTCCTTCGGCGGGGAGGGGGGGAGAAAGCGGTTTAAAGATTAGAAAAAAAAAAAAATGATTTTATCATAAATTAAATATAGGTGTTGAATTTCAAATTATAATTTTTTTCCCGTTTTTTTTTTTTTTTGCTTTTTCCCCGGTTTTTTTTTTTTTTTTTTTTTTGTTTCTCCTGCCACGAAATTAAAGATTAATTCTGACATGCGCTTTCGTTAACCCAATTACTTTTTTTTTTTTTTTTTTTTTTTTTTTACAACGTCGAATTGCACGAAATGTCGAAATGAAATAAGTCACGGGTTTGTCTCTCTCTCTCTCTCTCTTTCTTCCTCTCTCTCTCTCTCTCTCTCTTTCTCCCTCTATCTCTCTCTATCTCATTCACTTTTCCACCCTTTTAAATTATTTAATTTAATTTTTTATTTTTATTAAATATATACATTTTTGTTGAACGCGTGAAAAATTCGGGAAAGAAAGAAATGAGAAATGGAAGGGAGGAAGGGGGGAAAAAAGGGTCAAAGGTTAAAAGGTTCAACATTTCTAATTACCCAAGGAAAAGGAAAAAAGGAAAAAATTTATATGCATGCATAGGAAGGAGCGTTTTACGTTTCATTATCGCATATTATAAAAAAAACTTTTTTTTGATTTCTTCTTCCACGTTTATCGTGTAAATAAAGAAAAGAAAAATCATATCGAAATAATAATAATAATTATTATTATTAAATATGTGGAAATGATAAAGGAGGAGATATAAGTTTGTGATTCTTCTTCTTCTTCTTCGAAAGCTCATTTTATATATGATTCGTCCAATCTGAACGTTT